TTCTTTGCCCGCTCTCCTCCCAGGAGCTGCAACCTCCCCTTGCCCTATGTGCAGACCCTCGGGGGAAAGTGTAATGTCTGTCGCGTGCCTAGGGGGCCCTCCTGACCGAAAGGCCTAGTAAGGTTGCGACCCCCCAAGTTGAACGCCCAAGCCTTTCGGCTCAGACTCTGACTCCTCGACCTGAAGCTGCTTCCTTTTCTTGGTTTCCTAGGCCACAATCTTTTGCTTAGGACAAGCAACCACAGGCTAGGGAGCGTCCGCTGGCTGAGTTGGCACCCCCGCCGGCGTTCCCCTGATAGGGGGACCGTTGGGGCCCGCCCCACTAGTCCCGTGGCACCGACCTGAGGAAAGGCAAACCCCCTAGCTCTCAGCGACCTGGGCACCTTGGCTGGCATGGTCGCTGCATGCAAAAATCGTTAGCAAAACAATTCGCTGTATGCAAGAAATAAGATTGGCTAGGGTTACGGACACTTACTCGGTAAGGATTCCAAGGTCACTTCGGGATTAAAGAAGTTGAACTTCCTTAAGTTAGCAGTTGTCACGAGCAGTTTTGCGTCGTGACTTTGATCGGGTAGAAGACCAAAAGAGGTTATTCTGTTGAAGTTAGTAAGAGCCGACAACCTGGTCGTCTTGTTTACTGCGAAGAAATGGAAGAGTTCGTTAGCAAAGATTAAAAGAAAAAAAATTCACCAAGTAAAAGAAGGGCAGATCTACTCGACTCCCTAAAATGGAAAATGCCATCGTAATGGAAAAAGAAAAATGTCGTCTCGTATGCCCCGACGTTGCTTGGGTAATTGAATATCCCTCCCTCGATCGTGGATCACTTCGAGAGATAGTAAGAGTCCTTGTCTTTGCTCTTATTTAGGTAGTACGAGCAGACGAGCTCTAGCGCAGTCAGCTCGCCGAGACCGTTCTCGCTGCACGCGATATACATAGTCACGGCTATCATATATGCGTTGGGCATCAGTTGTAAAGGTGCGACCCTGAAGTGATCGAGGATTGACCTTATAAAGGGATGGAAGTGAATCAGCGCTCCACATTTAAATATGTTCTCGGAGATCACAGCCATTCCCTTTGGCAAATTCTGAGCTATATACGTCCTATGCTGGTAGACGTTTACACTAATCGCGTATTGGTCAACCGCTTTCTATATTTCCTCTCCTATGGCCACCGAAAGAATTTCTTGTGAGGGACTCGCTGGGGCGTCCTACACTGGCGAGCTCATTCCCTCGTCTGTCCTGGTCGTTGAAGGGTCCATTTCTTCTGCAGTCTGAAAAGAGTGACATGCAGGAATTACTCAGTCATCATACAAGGTTTCGTACGATGACGTGGAAGAAAAGATAAACATAATGTGTCTTCCTTAAAACCTAAGAATCCTTGGGGACCACCCCCAAAGATTCAAACCCTAGAGGAAAGCCTATTCTCCGTTCGACCACCCACAAACACCTACCGTTATCGCATGATTATCTACAAAATAGAAAAGGGAAAGTAATGGAAGGATCTTCCTTACCTCTTGGGTGTGGGGATTGAACTTCCTGTTATGAACGTCAAATGTGCACCAACTCGAAGGATGAAAAGTCTGGTCTCGCGAAAGCTTCTTGCTCTTTCTGAAAAAGTGAGTGTTGTGACATTGCTTAAGGTGAGCCTGGGATTTTATAGTAGAGGAAGTGGTGATTGGTCTTCCCGAAGCCAAGCGGCATTTGGGCGGAAATCATCTCTCGCCATTGATCGCGACCACATGTCATCAATCAACGAGAATGAGTAACTGCACGGTTCGAGAAATCCAATCGTCGCTTCTCTCCGTTGAAATAATCGAGCGATGGCTCGTTTCCCTCCTCCACATTAAATGCACTTTCATCCGCATTTAATACTCTGATAAGATATGTCGTTTCAGCATGGCTTACATTTAATGCGCATGGCTGGCACTTATTGCACAAAGAACACGTTTGTCAGAGTAAAAGGCACTTCATTAATGGATTAGTTGTCAAGTGCAATGGATAACATCTGAAGAGGTCCTTAGGACAAAACACTCTTCATCGCATGTCAGTTGCGAAGCGATGTGACTCCTTGCCTTCAATAAAAATATGCTAAGTATAACCAGGTCGCAGACCTCAGTTAAGATAAGAGGCGCATCAATACGGCACTAAATATGGTCTGATCCAGGTCATCGACCTTGCGGAAGGAGACCATGTCAGGTCGCTCATAGGGAAATGTCTTGCGACTTCCTTGTAGCCAGGTCAGATTGATCAGGCGTCATTCGGAACATATCAAATCAAGGCATAATTGTGAAGTTCTCAAGGTTCGATTCTCAAACCTTAGAAACTAGGGGACTTTTGTTATGCCTGAAAAAGTAGGGCTAACACGAAGTCTTGTCAGCATGGGGTGGTCAGAACTTAAGAAGGTTCCACGACCGTCCAGACGAAGCCACGTCGCATGATGACGTGAGTGGCATGCCCTTGTCAGTGCAGTGGGTGAATGACAGGTTAACGAATGGTTGGAAATCGTCCACGTGTCCAATCCCTGCACAAGTCGAGAAAATCACTCGAGTAGGTGAACAATAGGACGCAGAGAAAGATTTGCACGATACCCCCCCACTTACAGATTTAGTAATCATTATCTTGATTCATCCCACTATAAATAGAGGACTCCTCTCTCATTTATGGGATGGCTAATTTCACTCTAGAATAGTTTACTCTCTCTCACTCTCAATCTCTTGTATTCTCTAAGCTGTAACTCAGTTCGCTGAACGCAACCTGACCTTACTCTCATTAATACAATATTAGTGGACGTAGGATTCGCTTTTGAGTATCCGAACCACTTTAAACATCACATTTCACCCTTTATTTAACTAAATATTCTCATATCGCGTATGACTTTTAAGCCTGCTTAGTATTTCTCACGTGTAAATAGTTGGTGTCAAAATCAGCATCAACAATATTAAATCTTGAATCACATAACATTTCTATTCTATCAAATTCAGAAATAATATTTTGTCATGAATTACAAGTGTAGCCACATCTATACACTATCTTGCCACTGTACAAAACTTCGTCAATCTGTTATCATTATATTTTCATTACACTGGGTACGAATGCAACTATCATAACAACAATCAGCACCTAAACTAATCTCCTCAGCTATGACTCCAGACCATCAAAAGCAAAAGCTTTAAGCAACGCTTAGCTGAAAATTTGGTTCATATATATTCATAGCTAAGTACCATTAGTTACCACTTAGTTCGATTGATAGCGGATACGTGTATGGCTTAAGCATTCCATTCAAAATCTCTCTTCTCTCCAATCATCCACAATGCCATCATAATGAAAAAACATTATCACAAAATCACTTGGTGGAGTTTCAGACTACAAAGGCACTCCCCAAGAAGAAAGTTGAAGCCAGCAAAATCACTGGAAGGAGGCAATGAAATGATTTGTGCTTCTTGCGCTCAACCTTTGGGTATACCTGAAAGCAAGAGGAAATCAGCACCAAAAGAAAAAACATATCTGCTGCATATACATATAAAAATAGAATTATACGTTACCGTCAAACAACTTTATCTTGTGAACACATATTTACCAGCTTGAACATACACGTACGAGAGCCTTAAGTAAACACAAGCAACACAAACAGACTAAAAGTTAAAGGGATCTACCATGTTCAAATTAGGTACAATATACCTGCCCATTTACAATCTCGCGGTGACCAAGCATCGGATTGTTTGGATTTTTCTCCACCGACATAGTGTAACAACAACATAAAATTACAAAGTCCAATTGAAGCAAAAAAAAAAAAAAAAAGTAATTTATCATCTAAAAAACGTACTAAACATGTTGTACTGACGACTTGACTAAGTGAATTAAGCCAAAATCTTTGGCAGAATCATGGAGCATAGACGACAATTTGAATCTGCAGCATCGCTTTGATCCACTGGCTTGCTCCCGGCTGTTTGTATAGCGGCTTCAAGCGCTTGTCCCATTGTAATTTTACCTTGGTTGCCCACTATCATATATAATGACCATATTAATCATTTAAATTTAAGTGAATGTGAAGGACAAACAAGAATTTATATATATAAACAAAGTTTTCTTCATACTTTTGGGAATGTGAAGAGACTAAAATAAATCTTTATGTTCTTTTAATTTAGACCTTTGGAATGATACTATATAATTGTTATTAATATGTGTCATTAATACTAACAAATATCAAATACCAATTATCAATTACATTAAGCTACATATAACCAACAATCATACACATCAGAATTATACACATCATCACTAATTACATGCAACCAAATATATATATTTCACATCATCACCAAAAAAATACAGTCAAGTGTCAACCACATTTCCAACATATCAAAGATGGAGCAATTCTAGAGCTTTTTGATGGCAAAATATAGCAATTCTAGAGCTTCCAAAATCATACCTGTCAATCAAACAAATCATGCTTCAAGATTATAAATATATATAGATATATAGATACGAAGAGTTATTTTATATTTTGAATCTCACCGTTGCTATTGTATTGAAACAATTTTTATTGCTGTACCCTGGCATATATATATCATCAAATTATGATTTGTACATAATTAACAATCTACTAAAACATGCATAACAAATAACCCAAAATAATATCAATATTTCTGAGAGATTTATTACCATGTTAAAGAAGATGACTGACAATTTAATCATTTATGGACATACAAAAAAAAAATGTATAACATGGCATCAAAATTGAAACTACTATGAAACATCTCACATTAGTCAAATTGCACCCAGGAAACTACGGCTTCACGAAAAAATTAAAATCAAGGCAACAGAAATACATATTAAAATTTAGCGGATAGTAACTGCAAAAATCACATTTTATTCAGGACAAAATATTCTTCTATAAGACAATGTAAAACTTCTAATATGGCATTTGGTCCTAAATTAATTAAAAACGAAAGCAAAGAAAGAAAAAAAAAGGGTTTATATCTAAATTATTAAATATTACTACTAACACACAGCTTCCACAGCAAGTCTCTTGACAATACTTCCGCAGCTAGTTTTGCCAAGCTTATCTTCAGAAATGTCAATGTAACATGTCTCCTTTCCAACACACTCCTGTTGAAGTACTGGCAATATTTCTTTCTCAGCTTCACAAGTCCCCACTTCAAAAGAACCGCATGTCCCTTGTGGATCACCAAAACTAGCGAACTTAATTGCAGAGATCGGTCGCCCATTGCAGGACAATTCCAATGTCTTTTCCTCATACGCATTGCCGCATGCTGTTCCCACAGCGAGTGTTTGAAAGTTTACTAGCGATGGATTACCACCGAATTCCTCAAACAACACTAATGTATTTACATCATCTTGCAGAAAAGACCGAGGCACATGGTACCTATCAATCAAAACAAAACAGAGAAATCGTAATTTAAATATAAAGCATAACATAAATGAATTTAACCAAAACTTGTAGTAAGTATATTGCTCTCACCATCTCTGGGAAGGCTGACCACAGTTGGTGACACACTTGTTGTTGTCGTATTGACCGCGATAGTCGCAAGCGTCAGAGCTACAACCATCTTCTTCAGCCAGGTGGCTTGGCCAGTGACGACCAATGTTATGACCATTAACCCAAGCGAAACCTTTGCCCATTCCTTGTAAATCCAAAACAACTGCATCATTTCCTAGAGGAGCTTTGAAAGTAGTCTTATACCATGTCATTCTACTGTTAGTGGGAACATTATCTGCAAACCAACCACTGGTCTCATTATTGGTATTTACTGTACTGTAAAACTTCTGATCTTCCAGTCCACTCAATCCAACTTTGTATGACCATTTGTGAGAAGACAAATCCTTGATAACACTCTCGTCACCCTTCCTTCCTATCAGTTCAACCGGACCAGTAATTCCAGTTTGTACCATGTCAAACATGGGACCATAATTCTATTATGAGAAACAACATGTTAGGATATATAAAATATAAAGAGACTGACACTGTTAATTAAATAGGTTAGTATTAGCATTATACCTGCAAGCCAACAGTTACACTGAGCAATGATATTTGATTCTTTCCAGGATTTAACTTGACTTGTTGCTCAAAAACATCTTTGAAAACACCGTATTTGGTCCATTGTGAACCTGAACGAATAAGAGAAAATAATTATTAATAAAAGTTTATAATATAGATCAGAAGTATTCACAACAAATTTCCAAATAAATTACCAATATGTTCTCCATTAACATATGCATGAAGTACAATGCCACTGGTATTAACTCTCAGTGTCATATTATCACTCCAAATTATATCATCTGGCTTAAGGTCCACACTGTTTCAATGACAAAAAGTTGAATTAAAGCATGTGATATGATGAATAAATCCTTAAATGAAAGTTTCACAGAAAGAGAAGAATTACCTTGTCATATACCAGAGGTAGTCACTAGCATCATTTATTACTTTTTGGTCAATAAGTGAACTAGCGGCAAAGCTTCCCTTTCCTTGAACTACAGGTTCATCGATGACCTCAGAACTCCAAACCCACTTCAGAGAAGATGGTTCGTTTTCAGCCTGGTTTGGTTTCTTAACAATCAATGATGTTTGAGCGTTCACCTTTGCAGTACTATAAACTTCGGTTTTACAATCAGGGAGAATGCTTACAGACCATGCTGGCACAACATAATCACTTCCCTGGAAAGTGATTGCAGCATCTCCAGTGGTATTTGCATTCCCGAAAAAGCAACTTGATCCTTCCTCAGTTGCATAAACAGTGGCCTGGACATCGAAATTGCATATTTCAATAAGCTCCTAATTAAAAATATTATATAAGGGGAATGAGGTATATGTGTTTTATGTAGTTAAATATAAATAAATCTTACTGTGACAGAATTTCCGAAATCAGTGGTGGAAACGTTGCCATGGGTAAGAGTCTTCTCCATTGCCTTCAAGACATTATGAAGTTCCTTCAAATGTCCCCACTTCGGTTGATTCAGGTTTCCTATCAATTATTTACAAAAATAATTTACTAATTGAATATTGATTATTAGCATGAAGTAACACTAGAAGTTAATAAAAATGCTAAAGAACTATGAACTCACCAAATTCGTCAAGGGGTGCATCATAATCATAGGTTGTAGTAAGATATGGACCACCCGATGTTCTACCAAAATTAGTCCCACCATGGTACTGAAATCAGAAATCCAACTGAGTTTCAGCAATCCAATTTTTGATTTTTTGTTTTTTTTTTTGGTTTAAAAATAAGTTTAAATCTAATTTAATCGGTAAGAACTGACCATGTAATAGTTTTGGAATGTGCCTCCAGTTTGGAAAAATCTTGCAACAGAAAAGGCAAGGTCCTCAGCAGTCCTATGTGGGTCTTTGCCTCCCCAACTCTTAAACCTAATAAAGAAAATAATACATGAATTTTTAGGATACCAATAAGATAAAAACAATTCAATAAAAACAAGGTAAAATAAAGAAAAACCCACCAGCCAGTCCAATTTTCAGTCCACATTTTGGGGCTGTTGGGATTATTTGGTGTAAATGAATCGCAATACCAACCATTACATGTGTTGATCTGACAACAAATTGAAAATAAAATAATCAATTAATTAAAAAAACCAAAACAAAAGAAAATATTCTAAACGTGAATAAAAAAAATAAAAAAAAATATTTATATATACCATTGGCTGGGGAGCATCACTCTCTTGGCACATGATCCATGGTACTCCAATATCAAGTGAATCAGCCATTTTAGCACACCAGTCAATATATAATTTCCCAGCTTCTCCATAATTTGATATCATGTTTCCGTATTCATTCTCAATCTATCAAACACGAAAATTTAACAGTTACAAAAATTAACATATATAATTAACTAAATACTTACAAAAATTAATGGTTAGTATAATACCTGAGCAAGAATAATGGGGCCTCCTTGAGATGCAAATAATTTCTCTTGTTTAACCATATCCACTATCAAAGCTGTAAAGTTTTGCATTTCATTCTAGAAAACAAAAAAGAAAAAAAAATATCGTCACAAATCTTTAAAAAAAAAAAACACTGAGAATATTATAAAAGAGTTAAAATGTTCCATTCACGTACCATAAACACTTCGTTTACGGTTCGAAGCTCTTGAACTCCAGGCATGTTATGTAACCACACAGGAAACCCTCTGATCAATTGGATAGTGAAGATTAGATTATAATAAAAATATTTATGTGAAGATGAAGATGGAAATTAAATTGATAGAAATTAACTAACCCATAGTTCCATTCAGCACAAACATATGGTCCAATTCGAAGAACAGCATATAATCCTTCATCTTGAATGGTTTTAATGAACCTTATAAGATCAAGATTGCCAGAAAAATCATACTGGCGACGTGATGGTTCATGAGCATTCCAAAAAACATAAGTCTCAATTGCATCCAAACCACCCGCCTTCGCTTTCCTTATAAGGTCAGGCCACATCTGTAAATCAATATTAACAAAACCTATGTTACTTGTTATCCAATAGAAAAAACAACAATGAATAAAAAATAAAAATAAAAGATTACTTCTGGTGTGCTTCTCGGGTAATGAATTGATCCAGAAAGCAAAACCCTACGTCGACCATCAATGATGATTGCTCTCCCGTCAGAGGAAACATTATAAGCACTTGAAAGGCTTATAAAAACAGTTTGAATAATGAAACAGAGAAGAAAGGCATAAGAAATTGATCTTGGGGTCGCCATTGGAAGATAATAGGAAACAACTGATTTAGCCATGTATTTATATGCTTGAAACACGAACTAGTTTGAATATTTGAGATAAGAAGTAGAAATCTGTAGTTACGAAAAGTTCAGCCGAAATCCAAGAAAGGATATAGCTAGTGTGAAACGAATTCGCTATCATAATAACAATCTTTTCGTAATAAATCAATTGAGAGATTCGACTAATTTCTAAAAATACATGCCGTATTTAAACTAAACATTAAAAATCATATCATAAATTATTATTAATCCACATTTGACATAAGAATAGATCGAACATATATACATATGTAGTTGAAAATTATTGAAAATTAGTTGTGGTTGAATAAAATTTCTTCTTCGTCGAGTCGACGTTGCAGGAGATAAATCTTTATACATTGAATGATAATCAAATAGCGCAATGTTTCTGGTTTTTTATTTTTTTATTTTTATATACTCGTATTCAACTAACAAATAATTTTTTTTTTTACCAAAAATAAATATAAAATCGGGAATGTTAAGCTATCGTTCTTTATTATTCTTTTCTGCGTTATCTGTTCTCAAAATTTAAATTTAAAAATGAAGATAAAAAGTTTAAATTTTATTTTTTTAATTTAAGAATGCCTCTTTATCATTACATAAAAAAAGATCCTTTTTTTTGTATTTTAAATTTTTCCTTATATATTTCATTTTATTTTCTTGGGTTTTGTGTCTTTAAAATCGGAAATGATCAAGTGAACAATTCTCTAATATTTTTCAAGACGAAGAAAAAAAAATAGAGAAATTTGGAAATAAAAATAGCCTAATTTATTATCTTATTTTTAATTTTAGAGAAGTAATACTAGTCAACATGTGATAATAATAGTATAATATAGTAATTAACAAATTTGTATTAAATCAATTCTCTCATGAATTTGTATTTTAATGTGTAAAGTTGTATGATTCAATTTAGAGTGTCACTGGGTAAATGCCTAAACCTAAATGGGCCGGGTCCATTTTTTTTAGGCTTTATAAGCCTCAAACTCTAAACGATTATTATTATTTTTGTTAGTTATTAATTAAATATCTTTTCAAAATTTCTTCTTACCATTGAATTGCGAAATTATTAAATAAAATTTCACAAAAAAATAATTAAAAAAAAATGTAACGAGTAGAAACACAAAGAAAATAATAGTAATAACAATTTAGAGGAATAGATAAATTACAATTACAATAATAGATTATGGAATTTGATCGAGATTATAGTAGAGATCATTTGATACTATTGATTAACATAAAGTGAAGAGAATTTGTAATTAACAAAAAGTTGAAAATATGAAGACAAGTAAAATTACAAAACAACAATGTCAAATTATTAATTCTATTTTAAAGGGTAATCTTATATTATGACAGTAAATTAAGATAATCTATAAATATATTATTGAAATGAATTCAATTTCAAATGGAATGGATATTCTTTCTATTAATAAATGTTAGGTTTTTAAATGGAATGTATAAATTATTCTGACAATTTTTTTTTCCGAAATGTCAATAAATTAATTATGACATTGATTAAGATGGAATAAATATAGTAATAACAAACAGTAATAAATATTTTATGAATCAAGCGATAACTACTATGGCCCAAGTTAAAACAACATCGTTTGACCTGCTTATATAGTTAGGTTCATTAAATTAAAGTATTAAATCCATTAGTACCCCTGATGTTTACAAAATTACGCAAACACTACCCCTGCTGTCAAATTTGGCCGTTAAGTTTAACACCTTGAAGAGCAAAGATGTAATTCAATTCTAAAATCATGTTTAAATAAAAAAAAAAAAGAAAAAAAAGTGCATTGCGAAATGTTTTAATATCATAGACTCATTATTACTCCATTATTGAAAAGAATTTATTTGTCAAAAAATGTATTATATATATATTATTTTATTGGCATTATATGTGCTTCCATTTAGGTAGAGAGCCTTTACATTCATAATCTTAAATGATTTTTCAAAAAAAATTCATGAACTATCATGTTTATATTTTTAAATATTTTTTTTTTATTAATAATTGAATAGATTTAATTGAATTTGAACTAAATTTGTGAAAATACATTTAAAGATACCCACTACCATTTTTAATTTAAGAGTTATGACTAACACATAATTATTTGCATACACTTTATAACATTTTAATATAATTTTAAGTACTTCTTTTAATATTAAAAACCTTAAGTAAAAAACCGTTAATTATTAAAAATATATTATTTTATTAAATAAAATTTATCAGATTTTTGTAACACAATTAAGGTGCAATCAATATAAGCCTTTATTGACAATATATATAATAATAAGTGATTGTCAATTATATAACTTTTTTTATCATTATTGACAATATATAAATTAATATCATTTTCCTATGAAGTAAAATATATTTTAGTTAAAGAAATTATGTTATGTGCTCAAATTTCTAAATTTATCAATTTAGTGTGGTTGGCATGACCCAATGTCAAATCAACAATGACTAACCGAATTTTTTTTTTCTCATTTTAAGGGTATTTTAGTCAATTTGATAGTCAAACATGGACTTCCATTAGACTTAACGGCTAAAACTAATGGCAGTAGTAGTGTTTGTGTAATATGGCAAAACTCTAGACCTAATATTAACTTTGCAAACTTCAAGGTACTAATTGGATTTAATCCTTGAATTAAAAGTATAAAATAACAAATGCCGATTTATATAACATAGAGATGGCAACGGACGGGGCAGGGTTTCCTCGTCCCTACGACCCAAGCCCGTCCTCGACTCATCCCCATTACAGGGATGGCAGGGAATCCCCAGCCTAGCCCATTGATTTTTAAATCTTCGGTCTCGTCCTGTCCCCTACCTTTTTTTTTTTTTTTTTTTTTTTTTTTTTAAAAAGTGATTTTTTTAGCATGAATCTTTTAAATATAAGTAATTAATCAAATTTATATATTTAAATAAAAGTAATTAATCAAATTCTGATGCTATTCTATGACAAAATTTTCCAAAGTTTTTCTTCTTTTATTTTAGATAATGCTACATTCATTCAAATTATAAATATCTCACTTTTAATTTTTTTTGCAAATGATATGGCATTGCCTTGTCATCCATCTTCATTCAAGATTTTTTATCTTTTTAATATTAATGGCTTGATTATACTATTATAAAATGTATTATTTTGCTTGTATCGAATTAAGTACAACTAATAAATCTAATTAAAAATAAAATGCTAGATAATAATTTATACATCAATCCCAAGCCACATTCATACCACTAACTCATCCTACTTGAATTAATCATCAAATAATACTATACATATAATATTTTCATACAACATGATGTGAAAAAAATTGATTGGATAAAAATTTATTTTTAATTTAAAATCGGTCAATCATCTTTTATCATATCATGTTATACGAAAAATATTATATAAAATTATTGTATGTGCAGTATTATGTTTAAACAAACCCATAAACTCTTCGTGCTCAACCCACTGATTTTAAGTAGGCTAAATATGACTATACTTCTATATGGATTTGATTATTTGTTATTGTAATTAATATTTAATAGTATTGTGCTATGAAATTTATATATACATAAGAAATTTGTCATAGTTAAACAAATTCAAAATAACACTTTTAACATTTTTTTTTAAATCATATATAAACATTCATTCTCTATAATGTGTATCTGGATAAAAAGAACTATTAAATAAAATTCTCAACAATCACAAAACTAATGGCACGTCATAACCAACCATTTTATCACAAAATTTATCTTTGGGCCTCAAGATCTGTCACAGCAAAGCTCTTGGTCCAAATGAAATAATATAAAAAATGGGAACAGGATGAGACGGGGTGGGGCGGGGCAGGGGTTGGCTGTCCCCGAGCCCAGCTCGTCAGGTTGGGGATTAAAACCGTCCTTGGGCCCGTCCCCATCCCTGAAAAAAAGGGGAATCCCTGGCCCGTACTGGCAAGTCGGGGCGGATCCCCAGAAAAAGGGGACCTTTACCATCTCTAATATAACATTAATTTTGTATGTAGTATATACAACACATTATTTATACAATTTTTTTACTTAATTTACCGTAAAATATTTACTTATTTCAACTAATTTAAGAGTATTGAGTTGGTTTTAAAAACAACAAAAGAAAAAAAATCCAATATTCTAAAATTTTATTTTTTGATAGTAACACTGCCAAATTTTTTTATAAAATATAAATGTTATAGTTTAATCCGATTGTTAGTTAACGTATCGAAGATTGTAATTTTATTTATTTTATTTTAATCACTCACTAATATAAACAATGATTGAGATTTGAAAATGAAGCAGTCTATATATAATATTGAAGGTATAAAATATTTTGTACAGATACATATCAAGGATTGATTGCTACCACGCACCTACTCAGGAGTTTCGTTTGATGGACTAATCCCTTTCATTAGTTTAATCCTTCTCAGTGATTCATTGAAAGATTTATTTAATTTAATTGCACATAAACAAATTAACACCTCTTTTTACTTTATCTATTAAAATTATTTTATTAGCTGTTGTTGCTTTCATTCCACCCATTCACATTTCTTCTCTATTTTATTTTTATTATTTTAAGAAATCGAAGCTATTGATATCCTTAAAGATAGAGATATCAACATTATATTTCTGGGTATCATTATTTCTTTATACTTTTCTTTAACGTCTTAATATAAAATATTGGCAACATTAAATAAAAAAATAAAACAAGCAATTTTTAATTAACATCAACATGTTTACCCAAAAATTTATAATTAATTAAATATGATATTGAATAAAATACTATTAACATGTGTTTTGTACTATTATTAGATTGAAAGAGTCTTATTATATATATCAAATTTGGACATTTCATTTTGTATTTTAAATGATTTGACATAAATTAAATTAAATATTTTAAATGATAAGATTACCTAATTCACATGGATCCTTATAATCACTGATGGAGATTAGAAGTGACCCGGTTGGGCCCTCTTTGATTTCATACAAGTGATAATGCCTATATTCTATCCCAATTAGAAATTTCCAAAGATTTCTTATATAAAGGGAGATGCCATTTCTTATATAAAGTAGGACGAAAGAGTAATATAAAAATCAAGCAATTAAAAAAGAAAAAAAGGTTCTTTGTACTTTCATGCTTAAAGTTTAGAGTATATTACACTTATATCCAGTATTATGTGATACAAAAAATTTAATCCAATCATGTATTCATGTGAGACTTTTATTAAAAAGTTTATAATACCCTACTATTTTATTCACACACTATTAGATTTGAATAAAATGAAAAAAAAAAAAGTTAAAAGTATTTTTGAACTTCCAAAAAAAATCAAAATTTCATAAGAATAATGGTTTATATTCAAATATAAGTGAACCGCTTTTAATACATTATAAAACCTGCTTAACTCACAATTATGAAACAATCAAAACATCATCTAATTATCACTTATCACAATTCTAAATACAAAAATCCATCAAAACAAAGACTCAAGTGAACGACATAAAATGTTTAAAACATTCAACATTTTTAATTTTATATATATATTTTTTCTAATAATATATGTATAAGACAACATGGGGATTATAGTCTTTTTATTGAAACGTCTCATCTAACTTGACTAAATTGCTCATATCCCATAATATTGGAGATAAGTGCAAATATACTCTAAACCTTAAAGATGAAAGTGTAAATAACCTGAAATAATATGTTACGGATAATATTTTGGTTTTTATTGTGAATGTGGGCTTGGAGTAGAATGTAAGATTGGCTGATTGGCTTGACTTGACTCATTTAAACGAAGTCTTACATGGATTGCAAAAATAGCATCAAAGTTGATTCATCAAATATTTTTAGCTTATTCTAAGTTGATTCTATATATTATATCGAGTTGAACCGATTCAATAAATCAATCAACCTTATAAAATTTGATTAATTAATGAGTTTATCACACTCAATGCAAGGCTAATCTTATATTCGTTATATTACATTATACCTAAATTTAAACTCTACCGAGCACCGTACTTAATTTATTACGTTGGACTTTATTATGTGGTAGTTAAAAAGACCATTTCATAGTAATTGGTCCGATAAAACGACAAATGATAAAATTCCAAAGACAAAGGTGATGTCAGTTTCAGAAAATTATTTAAGAAAAAGGGGTGTCGACATTTTGACACCTCAAAAATGTAAAATAATTTAATAGCAATAGCCCTACTACAAAAACTACGAAAATTTTAATAATTGAAAAGTAAAAATAAAACATGGGCATGGGCATAGGCATGGTGGGTCAGTGTCACCTCCAGCATCATTATTATCAATAGATAAAACGACTTTGGGCCAAGCAGGGCCAGGGCGGTCAATGTCACTGTGTGGACTCAGCCCAAAGGTTAACTAACAGTCTTAACACTTCACGTGGGTTTTATTAAAAAATTCAATCGTCGGGTGCCACGTATGGATGGACAGATGTGAAGAGTTGCTTGGTCGCTTTACCTTCAGCTCCCGGTATTCAAGAAAGCTCTCTTTTCATAAAAGTGACATTGCATATCATTTTTCTGCTGTTCTTCATTCAGTGGGCGACCGTTTTCTGAAACAAAAATTACTTTATTGCCCTCAAATATTTATAATTTATTTTTTTTTTGGGAAGAATTAATGCTTTTTTGGGCGTGTGAGAATCTTATAAAATCCAACACGCTTTTTTTTGTCTTTTTAAAAGAAGAGAAAAAGCTGAAACTCACTAAAATAGAATTTGACATGTTAATAGATTTGATTCCAATTTGAATAAATATAAAGTATGAATTTATTCCCAGATAAAAACCACTTCAAATTATTATTTACCTAAATGATTAAGGTCAGTGAGTAATGGAGAAAAAGGTTAAACGACATCGCATTCAAAGGGCCAACATTTAATCAGTGGGGTCAGCCAAGTTCTGGGTGGTTTGAATAATTATTGAGAATTGAAAGAAAAGAACCACGAAACCCACAGTGATTAGCTAGTGGTGGTGGTGGTAAAGGAATCTATAAAATATAAGTGAAACAGCAGTGGGCAAAGGTAGGCCAGATCCCAAGAACAAGTCTCAATCATTAGAAAAAGACATAATAAATATTTTAATAATTCAATTATTTTTTAAATCTCAATCATAACCATATAATTCCAAACCAAACCTATGGGCTAACTCCACCCACTCCATCTTAAATTAAACCCTCTTACCATTTGGTTTTCTAGAGATTTATTTATATCTCTCCATTTCTTGCTTCAATCCACTCTCGCTACATCAAAACTCTTTAGCCATGTTGGGCAACAGACCCCGTCCGGTCATTGGAAAGTTATCGGCTTTATTGGTTTCCGGCAACCGTGCTGCCGGGTTTTTGGATATGGGTTCGAGTCCAAGGGGCCCATTAGACTTAAAAATTCAATCACCAAGAGGTCTAAAATGTTATGATGTAGGTGGGGTTGGATTGGGAATTGTTGCGGCTCTAGAGAAGTGCAGTAGTAGTAGTAGTAGTAGTGATGGGGGTCGTGAGATTTTGGCTAAATTTGCTGTGTGTAGTCCTACAAGCTTCAGTAAATCGAGTCCAATTCCGGTTAGTTCCGGTAGAAATTGTGATAGATGTGAGATGGAGAGCTTGGAGGATTATACTTATGTGACTTGTCATGGACCGAACAAGTCCTTCACCAAGGTTTATTACGACGGAGATGAACGTAAAATAAGCAGTGGAGATGATAGAATAATTAAGGAATCGCCGGCGAGAGTTGTTGTGGAAGAGACATCAGTTTATCCCACTTCAGAGTTTATGAGTTCATGTAACTTGTGCAGAAAAAAACTCCATGGCAAAGACATATACATGTACAGGTAATTTTTTTATCCATGATTGGTTTTGTCATTTCATTACTGTGATGATGGCAAATGTTTAACGTGAAATTGGTGAATTTTTACAGAGGGGAAAAGGCATTTTGTAGCACAGAGTGTCGATCAAGGCAAATAATGATGGATGAGAGAAAAGAACATTGCAGATCGGAGGTTTCAAGGTCTGCGGATATGTCAAGTTCACCTTACACAAGAGATCACATCTTCTTAACGGGAATTCTTGCAATTTAAAATCTTTACACTATAAGTTTTGGCAGCAAGGCAATCAACTTAATTATATAAGAAGCAATACTATTATATATATTACTATATATATGAGAATTACTCGGCTCTAATTTTAACCAAAACAAGAGCAAGAACAAGAACAATTCCTGTCCCAGTTGCAGCAGTAAAGTTTATGTTGTAATGAGATAATAAAGTTTGATATGAGTTAAGAGTTTTTCTTATCTTCTTTCTGGTGATTAATCAATGGGCAGTATATGGCTTAAAGAAGAGACAATAACAAATTGTTTCTGGAAACCATTAGTTACTAAAAAAAGCTTTCTTCTCCTTTTTGTTTGTTTGCCTTGTGGGAGTGATTATCTTGTGAAGATTAAATTTAAGAAAATAATAACCCTTTTCACCAGAGAACCTAAAGCTAAAGCTTCCACAGTAGCTGTATGTCTTCTTCTCTATTATTATGAAAATTTATCATTTAATTCACGGAGATAAACTTTAATTTTCTGTCCTTGATTTAGACATTGTAATTAAGTGTTGTGTTGGATTGAGTGTAGATATAATTAAATCCTAATGATGGAGTTGTGATCAATACTTGCACCTAGCAGTAGGTTTTTGAATATCTTCAAACTTCAAAGAGTCATTTCTGGGAAAGTTCCTGAACCTAATAAATATGGAATGCTTTGGCTTTGCTGAAACTTTCTGACACTCCCACGTTTGGAAAAATATATGTAAGCCTCACCATGTACATAAACTGCCACCATAATTTTGTATATCTTCCTACACGGATGAAAATATTCCTGGGTATTATTAAATTAAACACATAAAATGAAGAGTAATGCTACAGTTATAGACTGGTGTGTACTGATTTTGTGCACCGAATAACGTGACACAATCCTGACCGTTTATTTATTATCAGTTAATATTAATCAACGGTTAGGATTTTGCCACGTCATTCGGTGTACAAAATCGGTACACACCAGTCGGTAAGTCTATCATTTTCCTAAAATGAAAGGATACAGAGACCTAATCGAAACAGAATGATAAGGACAATAGGACATATGCCTAATATTCCAACCTCTCTTGTAAGAATGGAAGGTGTGTATACAATTTTAAAACCAGGGGGGTGTCAATAGAGATTCGGAAAACACTGAGGGAGTTCATTGATACTTAGCCAAATAGAAATGATGCAATGAACCTGGTGGGGACTTTTAAGGCCACACAGATTACCAAAATTTTGTTCCCAAACATAAACTAAAGCAACAGTCTACGACAAAGGTAAGAGAGGGACAGCAGACCCACTTGGTAGAAGAAATCACATAAAACCAAAAATGATTAAATCAAGCCACCACATATCCATCTTCCATCCATGACATTTCAGATATTCCCATATCGTTTCCTGTACCACGAAAAAAGATTACCAATCTTAATTTACCCAGCAACTGCCAAACACCTTAACTAAAAGATATTGGCAGCTCCTGCTACCATTTTCTTACTTACTACTTTTACAGGCCTTCCGACTAACTCACAACCTATACTACCTATTTGGGAAAGTATACAAAATTCTCACTTCAAGTTTTACAAATCAACATTAACGTACAATACGATAATAATAATACATCATTATATGACAGGCTTTAGAATAAAATCCAGTTTAAAAGAAGATGCTTCTTCCAAATCTTAACCCAAAGTTATCATCTGTGATGCAAAGTAGCATACAGTAATGGGCACATGTCGTTCTTACAATTGCAAAAACATTTCATGTAGAAAGTATTATGCCCGGCAAAGATAAAGTGTTCAAAAGTACATAACACAACGTTCATATATAACCATGCCCCAGAAAACAAAAAACAAAAAATGTTAAAAGGAAAGAAAAGACACAAAGAGACTATCCATACAGACACGTACACGACAAATTTGGTAACAGAAACACAGCAATCCTACAAGAAGGGAGGAAAGAAAAGAGAAAAAAAAAGAGGTAACGTAGTCCTAAACTTATCTAAATACTTATTACTGCCACCAATGTAACAGGGACTTTCCATGTATTATTACTAATAATACATTAGCTGCTGGGTTGTTGCAACATTCTGAAACCCACCATCATAGATTGGCTGACTACCTCCAGCAGCACCCATTCCCATTCCCAAGTGTTTAAGGGCATGCTGACCCTGTGGATGCATTAAGGACGGCACACCAGCCATTTTGCTCAATGCCATCTGTCGCTCATAGGCAGCAAAATCAGTCGCTGAAAGACCTGGCATATGTGCAGCAGCAGCAGCAGGCGGAGGAAGAGGGGTTGAGCTGGATCCTGGTGGAGTAGGTTTACTGCCCCAAGAGCACTGGAATTTAGAAAACATTGGACTATCATGCCATTGTATATCAAGAACTTGTAAACTCTACAGAAAACATATTTGATTGAAGATAACAATGAAAAAAAAAGAAGAAGAAGAAGAATAAATAACCACAAAAAGCAGTAATAATCATTTCTTTCAACCATTAAATTATTATATCTATGGCCGACTCATTTTTAGCATCAACTGAGGCTCCTCTCACCAGAATTTATCCTGAATCCAAAAATAATAAGAACAACTAATGCTTTTCTACTTGAGAAAATATCAGCAACCTTCACATACCATAAGCAACACAAACAACACCACACATTTTTATACAAATCTGAAACTGACAGATTTAAGCTAAACAACGTTTCAATTTGATCAAAATTTTTCAGAAGAGTCACAAATCCCTTTACAGACAACACAACACATTTGACAAACTATCCACATAATAACATATGATCTTAATTTCATTATTTTCCCTTTTTTTCTTTTTTTTTTTTTTTTTTTTTTTTTTTTTTTTGGTAGTAATTTTGTAGATGTGCACTAACCCACACTTCAACCCCCAAAAAGGGTAAAAAGATAAAAAGGAAACAATATATTATTAACATACAACAAGATTCTGGAGGCAAAATTAACATAATAACTATAATAAAAAGTTGTGTAAATGTCAATTACAATGAGAATAGAGCCTATAAGCACCAAACAATTATACACACAACCAGTATTATGGAGGCAAAGTTAACTCACCAACTTTAATTAAAAGTTATGTAAATGTCAAATACAATAAGAATAAAGGCTATAACTGACCACACCAGACACCTATCCATACAACCATTGTCCTGGAGGCAAAATTAACTCACTAACTTTAATCAAAATGTTTTAGAACAATCTATGTCCAAAGAATCAATGGTTTTATGATCTTTAACAATTGAAACATCAAATATTTTATTAGAAAGCTGCACTTGTAATCAGGCTACAGCTGCATAATATATCCTATGCTCCAGTTTACAAATGAAGACCATTTATCATGCTCTCCAAACTATATAGCACATCATGAAACTTTGTATTGGTTCTGATTAATTAACAAGTCCACTTCACGAAAAGATCTTGGTCAGGCTATTAGATAAAAAGGTGGGCAAGCAATGGCATGCAGCTAGTGTTGGCAAACCTAAATTTAGATTTGAACATCTCAGTACTCTATTTTATCTGTGTTCATTACCAATAAAGTCGACTAACTGACAAAAAATATTAGAACCAACTATGATGTGGGGATGCTTCAATCACACAATTCAAGTAAAACTGTGGGTCTTGCAATGCTTGAACAATTGAAACAAATCCAGCAACTTGTAAATCACAAAACAAGCCAACAGTTCCACGTTCAAAAAATAAGATAAATCAATAATAATGTACCTTGATCGGTTTCCCACAGAGAATCCGAGCATTCCCTGTCTGAATAGCCAGAGCTGCTTCAGCATGTGTGGAGTATCTTACAAAACCAAAACCCTTATCTCGTTGCACCCGAACATCTTCAATTGCTCCAGCACCAAGTGCATGGAAATGCCGGTGGAGATCAACTGAGGTAACCTGTAAATTATTACTCAAATTAGAGATGAGCAGACTGCTTGGCTCATTTCAGCCATCTATTTTTATTACTGCTAGATAGGCTTCCCTCCAATAATGAATATTCCCCTCTGGAATCTTATTCAAGTCACCAAAAGAGCAGCTGAAGTCCAGCAAACAAATAATGTTCTAGTGGTGTTTACTATTTTTATCCTGGAAACTACTAGTTCAGAATCTTGGACTAATCATCTGTGCAATGAGATATTTAATGTGTCAAAATATTTCAATCAAGTTCCTGGTTTGATAGATCTGACATGGCTGTGTGAATAAATCTTAATTGGCTTGTATGCCTAGCGCAACCAATTTACTGAATCTTTCTTCCAATGGCAGACTTTGAAAGTTTGAGATGGATATTCATAATTTACTCCTGTAAATTTAGATCAAGGAAAGAATTGATGAACTTCCCGTTAAGATTTAGTTTAAGCAAATAAATTCCTACCTCAGGAGCAAGATTGCCAACATAGACAGTGGTATACTGAGAATTGCTTTCTGGAGCATCATCATTACTCTTCTCTTGAGCGTCTTCTGCATAAGAAAAAAATACATAAATACAAGTATACATGCTCATGCTTCAACATGATAACAAGAGAAGTAAAAAATCACATCTCAAGCATCCATGAAAGGAAACAATTGATGCTTGATTCAGGCAAAAGAATTCAATGCCACATTAGTAACAACAATAAGCTCAAAGACTGATCTAATTGCATAATTTCAAAAGTTAGACTGTTTCAATACATACATACAAGAATGCATACGCGCATATATACATGTATGTATGTATGTATGCATGCAAGCATGTGCAAATTGAAACACAAACATCCAAGTAAGAAGAGAATGATTTGGACGCAAACCACTTTTTGCAATTTCAAATTAAAAAAATAATAATAATAACTGCTACAAAATGCCATAGCCAGCACAAAAATTAAACTTTTCAACTAATAACATACAAGTATAGCCAACATCATGCTTCTTGAGCCTTGAGAGAAAATCATTCACTTGCCACAACCAAGCAAACATGAATTCAACATGATTCTTTAATAATAAATTAAGAAATAACAATAATGAAAAGAGGATACATGTTTTACAGATGGGAAAAAAGGGTTCAGACACTAAATAGATTAACTTCATAGTATACAAATCTCTACCCTCTCGTATCACTAACAAAAAGATTAAAAACAAAAAATGATATTAAAGAGGAAAAATGAAGATAAAATCCATAAAATGAAGGTGCTGAGGAACAGTTCACAACTTCTAGAAGTAGATCTTCAACCAGAGGTGCTTGTAACTATCAAATCATAACAAAACTCACCAGAAGTTCCATATGCCAGCTCTACACTTTTGGAGTCTGAACTTTGCTTGTCATCATTAGCACCTTTTGCAGCCCAGTTGCACCGAATCTGTCTACTTCCAAGCCACTTTCCTGCAATATAAAAACAGGACAAAGTTATTTGGATTCAAAGTAAATTGGATGTAAATTTAAAAATGATACATGTCCAGTAAAAATCATTTCCAACTATAACAGCAACATATTACGTCTCAAGAAAGGGGGAAGGGGGTAAGGCTTGTTCCTTGTTATATAATCCATTCAGTGATACTAGTAAAATATCATACTAGGAGAACTATATGGATAAAGTAATTTTATCAATTACTCATCTTCATCCAACGATTCATGCATCCATAAACCAGGAAAATTCTGGCGTATCAGAGGGTACACAATGGGACCATTGGACAGAAATGAGCAGTTATTGATAAAACTAATGTAAATATAATATGTGCAAGTGAAGATGTTTGTTAATGTCAAGTTACTCATCAACTTGAAAATATCACACTACACATCTCTTGTGTCATGTTTCCCACCACTTTCCAATGCCATTTTTCACTATAGCCACTGTTTCACAACAAAGATGATAAAATACTGAACAGCTAGAGAGTACCCCAAAAAACAATTAATGTACTATAAGCAAGAGTACTCTAAATCCCAGAAAAAAACAGACTGCAAGGAAGGAATGAAACTTGCATACCAGTTAAGTCATTTATCGCACTTTGGGCTTCCTGGCCAAGAAGAAAATTAATAATAATCATATGATGGACCCAGAAAATGGGGAAATAACAATTATACATGAAAATATAAAGAAATGCAAACCACAATTTAAGTGCCGAAATGCAAACCAGAATTTAAGTACCTGCTGGTTCCGAAAAGAAACAAACCCAAAACCCCTTGAACGCCCACTCTTCTGGTCCCACATAACCCTCGCATCCCTAGAACCAACACATTCAAATCAAACTTCCAATAATTTAGCAAGTATACTAAAATCCAAATCACCATAAATCCATCATTTAAAAAAAAAAAATTTAATAACTACTGCAACAATAAAAGAAAGAAAAGGAATAAGAACTCACGAACAACTAGGATATACAGAGAAGCATGCAAACAACGTAGCATCAGTAACTTCAGGGCTAAGATCACCAACGAAAATGTTGTGATGACCTGAATTACAGTATTAAATTAGGACAAGCTTTAGGAAATCAGAAGCACAGCACAGTCACCAATTGTAAATACACATGTATAAACCTGATGTATCCTCCCTCTGACTACTAGCATATGCCCAATTGACTTTAATAGGTTGCCCAAACCTGCAAAAAATATAAAAGGATATAGAACGGGGCAGATCTAACTGTAATTCTGCGGGATTGCAACTTACAGATGCCTTCCATTGAGAGACACAATAGCAAGAGTAGCAGATCTACGATCAAAATAGTCCACAAAACCATAGGATGACTGCAAAGAAAAGAATTGCAAAGCCCACATCAGTAGCAGGATGAACAACTAGCAAAAAAGCCTCTTCTATTCAATTTGAAAACAAGGCATGGATAAGCAGTGAGGCAAACTTGCTGGAAAAGAAAATGGTAAATATTATCATAGAATTTAGGGACAGAGAATAAAAAAAAATTCACACTGAAAGATGACCTTATCTTTCCTAATGAGCTTGCATCCTTCAAGGGGACCAGTATTTGAGAAAACCTCTTGAAGTAGAGCCTCTGTAACCTGTGGGTGAATGTTTCCAACATACCTATATTTCCCACAAATCAAGTATAAATTCCCATTAGTAAACATGAAATGGAAGTAAAAGAAAATAAAAGCATTGTGCATAAATCATAAAATTATTGTATAGCAACCATAGATCATATTGCATAACTATATATTTAAAACGACCAAAAAACAAAAAGGAGAAACTTCTTTTCCATGAGTGGGAAAGAGTGGAAAACAACTAAACGCAATACAAAGAAATTAAACCTAGAAAGCAAAAATGTAGAAAGTTCCCTTAAATTATAAACTATCTAACAACAAATCAAATAGGAAACAAAAGGACATGGAGGGTAAAAAACAAAAGGAAAAAGACAATGTCTATGCAAAACTCACACACTGCGGCATGTACTTGCATCAAACCCAGGAGGCAGATTTCCACTCAAGATAGGCTCTATCTGCAAAATGAAAATGTAAATATAAAAAAAAAAGGGCAAAAATAAATATTTCCTGTATCTACAATACCCAAAGTCGCAGTAATTTTGCTTGGCAAACACAAATATCAAAAGAAAAAATCAAGGAGTTCCCTAAGCTTGCCATTAACCATGCTCCAATGGAAACCCCCTAGAACCATAAGAGGAGCCCCATAAAAACCTAATATCTCATCTTCAAATTCAGTTTTTCAATCTTACAATAAGCTCTCGGGGAAAAGCACACAACACACGCCCACAACCGTATAGTTAAAGCAAGAAAAGGCTACAATTCTTTTAAGCATTGCTTTAATCATTCCTTTAAGAACCACAATATTAACTGTTCACAATTTTAAATCACCATATAAGCAGAAACAGTACAAACAATTTCACTCAATAGAAAGACTCAAGTGGAAACGTGCCAATCCAACAATTTAAAATAACTAAGTAGTACTTCAGAAACGAAATTAACAAATACATCTCACTGCAAAATAATGAGCACAACAATACAATGATTTTTTACTAACTCACAAAAACAAATAGTTGTATAAGATAGAATTCAAATTTTTGCAAGAAAATAAATGAACCCTTTATTACTCGCAAAATACCCTTGTCAAAACTAATAAATAGAAACAGAATCAGATAAAAATATAATAAAAAATAAAAACAAAGTTTAACCGAAATCTAAAAGTGTGAAAAAGGAAAAAACCTGAGGTGCCGCTAAGAGACCCGGATGATACTGGTAGAGAGACTGCTGCATCATGGTCTGTTGCTTTAGCCTCTGCTGCTGCTGCATAATCTTCTAGAGGTGGATTTTTTAAAAAGATTTGATTAACGAGAGATTTAGTGTTAAGAAGATGAAGATTAAAACTAAATAAAAAAAGAGAAAGAAAAAAAAAAAGAAAAAAAAAGAAAAGAAAAAAGGAAAACCCTCGAAGAGGGCAAGATTTAGTACCAAGAAGAAGAGAAGAAGACTGGGTAGAGATATCGGGTCACTCTCTTTATGCGCGGATTCTATATAAATGTCTTCTGTTTTTTGTTTTTTTTTTTTTTTTGATTTTTTAGCGTAAGTGTACATTTGTGACAACGACATAAAAGATAACACAGTTAATCTATATATTTTAATCCAGAAATTGTGCGTTCAGTTGGAAAAATGTTTTATTAGTGAAAATGTAGGATGAAGATTATAGGAGAATGTTATATCAATACCTTTAAAATTAATAGGTATAAATAATTAAAATGTTTGGTTGAAAAGAATAAAATAATATTGATAGAGGCTTTTATTGAATTGTCTTTCTTTTTTAATATCATTATAATAATAATAAAATAAATTCCTTTAACCCTCTATATTTGAGAATTTTGCTAAAACACCCTCAATAACAAAGTTTAAATTTTAACAAAATACCTCCAGCCACCCAAGATCACCACCGACAGTTGGCCACCAGCATTAGTCACCAAAACGGCGCACGACCGACGAGATTAGGCTAGCCGTATGCCATTTTGGTTGTTTTTAGCTAGATCGAAGGTAGAAAACAACTAAATCCCTGTGGATCTGGCCAAAAATGGCCAAATCCACGGCGATCTAGCTATTTCTGAATGTTTTCCAGTCAGATCCACACTGATTTAGCTGTTTTCGACCATATCAAAGTCCAAAAATTGTCAGATCGCCGTGGATCTGATTGAAAACGGCCACAAATGGCCGATCTATATTATGGTTGTTTCCGACCAGATCCATAACGATCTGGCCGTTTTCAACCTTCAATCTGGCCGAAAACAGCTATATTAGCGCACGACCGACCAGATCCCATCGATCGTGTGTCAATCTAGCGACTATTGTCAGTGGCTGACGGTGGTGGCTGGCGGTCAGGGATGGTCTTTGGTGGCTGGGGGTATTTTGTTAACTTTTAAACTTTTGTGGCTAGGGTGTTTTAGCTAAATTCTAAAATGTAGGGGGTTTGGGTTATTGTTATTTGATAGACATTTGAGAGCAATTGTGTTTAGAATAATATTTAATTAAGGGTAAAATGGGTATAAAATTAAGATTACCCCGGTAATCTTTAAATACCACCCCTTGAGGAGGTAATCTGATTACCCCTTATTTAACCCACAGTAATCACTATTGGTATTGAAAGATTATTGAAATCTTTTATTACTTGACAACCAAACAAATGAATGTTTGAAATTAAAGATAGATTACCTGAGTTATCTTTCCAGAGCCCTAACCAACGCACCCTAATTATTATGTTTGGATGTCAGGTAATGAAAGATTTTGGTAATTGACCAAGATTGACAGTGATTATGGTAGGTAATATAGGGGTAATTCAATTACCGTCTATAAGGGTGTTATATTTTTATTAACAGGGTAATCCACTGTTCAATTTTACCCTTAATTAATAAACAATTTAGATACAAATGCCCTCATATGTCTACTAAATAACAATTAGCCCAAATATGCGAAATGATTTTTTTAACCTCATAAATTAATTTTTTGGATAGAAATACCCTCACTATTTACATTAATAATACCCAAAATATCCTCAGTCACACAAGACAACTGTTGGCCATCGGCCACCACCACTAATAGTTGTCGAAACAGCACAACCGACCAGATCTAGCTGGAAGGCCTAAAACGGCTAGATCAATTCCTGTTAACGACCATAGATCTGGCCGTTTCTAGCCTTCGAATATGGCTAGAAATGGCCAGATTCAGTTGGTCGTGCACCGTTTTGGCGACTGCTAGCAGTGGTGGCTGGCGGCCAACAATCGTCTTAGGTGGTTGAGGGTATTTTGTTAAATTTTAAACTTTTGTTGTTGGAGTGTTTTAGCTAAATTCTCCTATTTAGGGGGTTAAAAGTAATACTCTTAATAATAATAATAATATTAAAAAGCAAGGACAATTCATTAAAAACCCCTCTGATAATATTTCACTTCCAACCAAATATATTAATTATTTATGCTTATCAATCTAACCAAACATATTAATATAACACTGCCCATTAATGTTCAAGGTACTCTATCTCAATGATACTCCTATCTTTTCAGTAATAAAAAATTCCTCAAACCAAACACTACCTAAAAGTTAACTGGAAACTATCCTCTTGGTGATGGGGAATAAATTTTTCCCCTTTAGTTTCCCTTAAAACAAGCACATAAGTTTTAAAAAATAACAAAAATACCCAAAATATTGACCAACATTTATTAAAAAATGATTTACATAATTCCATTATTACACTTTTACCATATTAGCAATTTTTATTAATTTAAATTACTAAAATTTTATCCCCCAAAATTTTTTAGCAATGTAAAAATAATTAAACTATTCTTGTAAGGTTAATTGCTGCAAGGCCCATCTTACATGACTCGAACTCTAACGAGCCTCTTAAACCACTTGCTAGGATTAGAAGCATACCACCAAACCAAAAATTATAACATGTATCAAAGGCGCAACCATATTTCTTTAAACCATTATCTTTGCACCCATGATTCGAGCTGATTAAGCCTTCAAGGCTTCGCCATAGCAGGATGTTGGCCTACGTAAACAACAACTATTTTTCATGAAGTAATCCTAACGTCATCTTTTGTTTCTTTTCCTCTAATTTTGATAAAATGTTTTGGTGTTCTTATTGTAATTAAATTAATTATAGTTGTTGATGCAGCATTTTGCACCAATGAGAAGTAGGGTTGTAATCGAGTCGAGCCAAGTTAAGTTTTCAGCTAATCGAGCTTGACTCGATTACTACAGGATCGATTCAAGTTCGAGCTCGAGCTCGAGCCTGTCAATACCAGGAAATGGTGATCGAACTCAAACTCATTCTAGGGGGTTCGAATTCCAGTCGGCTCGTGAGCTCGAATTCGAGCCAAGCTCGATTAGGCTTGGTCAACCCTGGTTTGACTAGCCCCAATTTTAGCCCTGCATAATTTTTTTTTTCCCTCATCAACCTGTTTAATTGCACAATTTTGTAAACACGTCTATTGTAAATGACAATATACATAAAAAAAAATAGCTACTGCAAACTGTAGATGCAAAAAATCTATTGTTACGAAAATAGGGTCTGATCTCATGAGGTTGAGGCCACTGACAATCTGCTAGACTTGCACACATGAAAAGACAAGCATGAAGCTTACGGAAAACATTGGGTGGTGTTTGTCATAAGCACTCCGACCCCCAAGTTGGTAAGGCTGAAAAAAACAATTTAATGAGAATTAGGGAAAGAAAGATTTCCAAGAGCCTTATCAGAGGCCAAGACTACGGCAAAGGTGTAGAACTCTCAAGAGCAAAAACTTAGGAGCAAATAGGTGATTTTGAGCAATGGAGGTTGAATATTGGAGATTGATTATTTGATCATGGATCCATTATGAGAGGGCAAACCTCTGTTTATATAGTAGTCATAGGATCTTTGAATCCTAGTAGGACTCTAAGTCCATAATGATAGAAGTTTTAATGAATAGGAAAGTCTTTGATTTACTTGCCTTTTGGAATAATAAAAGTCCTAATTCATATAAGATTCATGATCTTAGATGAATTACGATATAGATGGATCTCCTAGGAGAATTAGGATAGTGGTGAAATAGGAAGTGGATGTCTTTAGGGTTTGAATAGAACATTGGACCCTTAATAGATAATATGGGCTAATAGGCCTATTCGTGGTTGGCCCATGGTCTTGAGCCATGTTGATGTTACGCGCAGGCCCAAGATGATTTTTTGCCCATACAGTTAGCCCCACACTCTCTAAGTTAAGTAATTAACTTGGAGAGTAGTTTTAATCGAATAAGTGCAGACTGAGCGGATCAATGCTAGCAGCTCGTCAGGTCGGACTGTTGTTTGGAATGTGAAAGTGTGCTCGACCAACCTAAGTTAGGAGGAATTTGCTCGACCAACCTAAGTTGTAAGGTGAATGTTCGACCAACCGAAGTTGAGAGAATCATGGAGGTTTGCTCAACCAACCTGAGTTGGAAGAAGTTTGCTCGACCAACCTGAGTTAGGGGGTGGCAGTATCTTGGAGAATGTATTAGTTCTTTCATAGGTGAAAAAATGCGTGAATCATAGCCCTTTGAAAGTCGAGTCAGTTCGACTTGATTCGTCCAGGTGTGGACTTAGACGAAGTTTGGTGGAGTCACTTCAAGATGGTGATGTGTACCTCCCACTTGACTTAACTCATGCTGATGAATAAACGGTGTATACTGAGTAGAGCTTGTCGCCGAGTCAACGTGATCGACTTGTAGTTGAAATTCTCAACCCGGATGACGTGGGGCCAGTAGGCATGACCGACTGTGTACTTGAACAAATTTTTAGGATTTGAGCCTGAGTCGGCATGACCGACTTTGATGTGGAAAATCTCAACCTCAATTAGGCAGGGCCAGTTGGCATGATCGACTTTGTAGTTGAAAATTCAAGGATAATGTGCCCAAGTCAGCATGACCGACTTTGTAGTTGAGAATTTGAGGGCAATGTGTTGAAGTTAGCATGACCGACTTCGTAGTTGAAAATTCAAGGGCAATGTGCCCAAGTCAGCGTGATCAACTTTGTAGTTGAAAATTCAAAGCGTTAGGCCTTATGGCCCAGTCGGGGTGGCCTACTTGTAGTTAAAATTGAAGGAATCAGGCCTTGTGGCTGAGTCGATGTAAATTGATTAAAGCTGGAGAAGTGACATGTATGACATGCATGTTTTAGGTGAAGAGGTGAATGGAGAGTCAATATGCATGATGTGCATGTGTTATGGATCGAATGGAGAGTGAGCTAAATGGAAAATAAAATACATGGGCTCCATGTGTTTAAGTAATGGACTGAATAGAGCAAGAATTAACCAAATAGAGTGTTAGTTAAAAGGAGATAATGAGAAATACCTCTTCCCTTCAAAGTGCTGCCACTCATGCTTCCTGAACCGAGTGC